GGTCACTAACGGATAATTGGTTACGTCGGGTAATTGTAATTGGTTGAATCGGGTAACTGTAATCGATTGGTTTGGGTAACTATAATTGGTTGTGTTGGGTAATGGTAACTAATCAGGTCAAGTAACTAAAAATGGGCGATTCAAGTAACTGTAATTGGGTAGTTCCTATAACTGTAGTTGGGCGAATTGAGTAACTGTAAATGGGGAGTGGTATAAAAGTCATATACTACGTAGGTCTCATTTTGGAATTCCAAAATAGGACTACTATGTTATTCTTCCGGAAACATGAGTAACATGATTTAGTTAAAATAATTTTTTGAATAGCGTTTTACACAATTATTTTAACACATAATATATATTGACGCTTTTTAAAGGGAAAAGTACGGAAAATGTACTTGTGGTCTGACCCATTTTTCAGATAGGAGATGTGTTTCATTTTTTTATAAAGTAGAACATGTGTTTCAATTCTGTTATCACACAAGGGGCATGACGTCTAACGCCTAGAGTGATAACACGAGGGGCAACATCATCCCTACCCTCTCGGGTTTGATTAACAAGGCACAAGGTGCTTTTGTGGATGGCCGCCTAATGTTTGATAACATTTTCCTTGCCCAGGAACTTGTTAGAGGATACAATAGGAAGCGTATATCCCCTCGATGTATGATTAAGGTCGATTTACGTAAGGCCTATGACACCATTTCTTGGGATTTTCTTGCCAAAGTTCTTAGGGGTTTGGGCTACCCCGAATTGTTTGTTAAATGGATCATGGAGTGCGTTACCACTGCTTCCTTTTCCGTTTCTTTGAATGGATCCTTGCATGGTTTTTTTAAAGGCAAACGGGGCATTAGGCAAGGGGATCCAATGTCTCCTTTGCTTTTTGTTCTTTGCCTTGAGTATTTTTCTCGTCTATTGACCAAGAAAACCAAGACATTGGGCTTTAATTATCACCCACTTTGCGGATCGTTGGGTGTAACCCACCTGGCCTATGCGGATGATCTTATGCTTTTTTCGAGAGGAGACAAATATTCCATTGGCATATTGGTTGACTCTCTTAAGGAGTTTGGGGACGCATCGGGCCTAAGGGTTAACCATAACAAATCAAATATTTTTGTTGGGGGAATCAATAGTTTGGATTTGCAGGGTATTTTGGATCTTGTGGATTTCGACCAGGGGGTATTCCCGGTGAGATACCTTGGTATCCCACTTGCGCCTCTAAAGATCTCGGTGGCTCAGTATGCCCCACTCTTGGATACGGTAAATGATTTTTTAAACGCATGGAACACCAAGACGATTTCGTATGCGGGTAAACTTGAGCTAATACGATCTGTGATCCAAGGGGTCCAGTCGTTTTGGCTCCAAGTATTTCCGGTGCCCCAAACAATTCTGAATAGGATTGTCTCTATTTGTCGCATTTTCTTATGGGGAGGTAACTTTGCAAAGGTGGCATGGGATGATATATGCCTCCCCAGAGAGGAAGGGGGCTTGGGCATTCATAATGCAAAGATATGGAACCACGCCCTCCTCGCCCGCACCCTCTGGGATGTACACCAGAAAAAGGATACGCTTTGGGTGCGTTGGGTGAATGGAGTTTACCTCAAGGGAAGAAATGTGTGGGACTTTGTCCCACACGCCCGGGACTCTCAGCTAATAAAGCGTTTAAGTCTCATTCGAGATAAAATTCGGGGCTGTTTTAATAATTTAAATGATACGATTCTTGGCCTAAATGCGCGGTCTATGAATGGGAAATTAACCTCCGCGAAAGTTTATGAGTTATTGAGAGTTAGGGGCAATGCTAGGACTCCTATGAGTTTCATATGGAAATCCTACATTCCCCCCAAACTATCTTTCAATGTATGGTTGGCCTTAAGAAACCGGCTTCCTACTCAGGATAGTCTCGGTTATCTACACATTGTGAATAGGTGTGACCTTTGTAAGGGTGGTTTGGAAACAATACCACACCTGTTTTTTCGTTGTCTTTTTACGTGTAGGGTATGGGAGAACATAAGGAATTGGTTGGGACTCGGGCATGAGATGACGACTTTGCTAAGTGCCATAAAGTGGATCATGAAGACCCACAAAGGATCGACGCTGAGGGCAAAAGCAGTCCGGATAGCTTTCTGTGCCACGGTCTACTATATCTGGCATGTAAGGAATGAGCTGCGTTTTGATGGAGGAGTGAAGACAGAAGCTGATGTAATTTCAAAGGTCAAGCATGTGGTGTATAAGATCTTGTATAGCTTATACCCATATGAGTTGATTACCTTCTGATGGAAAAATGGGGCTGCCACCGCAAGGCCGCGGCTTCTTGGCTCGGGCACTGACCAAGGGTGTGCCGCGACATGTTTGGGGCTTTTCTTATGATCTGTTTCGATTGAACTTATTAGATCTTTTGACTGGGCATTTAGTATTGTATACTTAGGCCCATTTGATTTTGGTGTTTGTTTAAGATCGAATAAAAACCTCTCCTAACCCCTACACTAGGTAGGGGTGGGAGGGGTTTTAGGAGATCTAAAACCCGCTGATGTATAATTCTTGGGTGTCAATATATATTTACATTTCATCCAAAAAAAAAACGAGGGGCAACATCATGCCCTCCCTATTTTGTTAAAAACTGAAACACTTGCCCTATCTGAAAACGGCCCAAATCACGCTACTTTTTACTTATCTCGATGACTTAAGAGCTAGTTGCGGGCTCAACGATTGCCGAGGTTCCTTATAATAGTAAAGTCTGTATGTACCCCTGAGATGTATGAAAATATACTCCTCCACTCCGTCACATATGTTTGCGCATAGTAATTATATATTTTGATTCGTCATTATGTCTTATTTTATTGAATTAGATGAGATACGGGTAATGATTACCTACGTATTGATCACCATATATAAGGTTATAGTTGCTAACATGTGTATTAAAAAATGGTATTGGCAGGGGGGCTTTTGTTCAGAGACGATGACGCGAACATGCAACACGTAACAGGAATATCATTTCTTGTGTTGACGTACGCTAAATCCCTGGCAAATTCCGGCAAACAACTGGATTGCGGTAACAACTTTGTTGCAACTTCAGCGGATTTGATCAAATTTGTTAAAAGCCAGGTGGACTACATACTAGGAACCAACCCCATGAAGATGTCATACATGGTCGGATATGGCGCCAACTACCCAAAATCCATACACCACCGCGGATCTTCGCTGCCGTCGGTTCATGCTCATCCAGACTCATTCAACGGCGGCGATGGGTGGCAGATTTTTCATTCCTCGGCCCCCAATGCGAACCAGTTGACCGGAGCTCTGGTGGGAGGCCCTAATTTTGATGATGTGTATATTGATACGAGGTTCGACTCTACACATGGAGAGCCTACTACTTATATCAATGCCCCACTGGTTGGGGTCTTGGCGTATTTCACTCAGCACTAGCTTCTTCGTCGTTTTCATCACTGCTTTCGTAATATATACTTATGGCCGTTTGTATTTCATTTCAGTCATGGTTAAGTTTTTCTTTACGAAGTTTTAATTTGGCTTAAACCAAGGAACAATGTACGACGGACACGGACCACATGATGGCATGGCACTTGAACCACTTTAGAAAGTGAAAATGACAAAAAGACACTTTTTTGAGCTATGAAGCACGGATATTTTGATTAGGGTGCCGTATCGACGTATCGGAAAAATTCTTGCATCCTATACTCTAGGATACTCGTACTGTACGTTCTCGGGCCGTATCTGCAATTTTTAAAAGTTTCCATTTTGTTGGGTAATTATTTTAGAATTTCGGATACCCGTATCAACTTTTTTTTTAAACTTCTTAAAAAAAAACTTTTTAAAAAAAATACTCAAAATTTACATAATAAAATTCTTAAAAAATGAAAACCTAAAAATCATATTTACCTTGTTTTTATGTGGTACACAACTAATGGGCATATTCCTATTTTACCCATCATTTTATCCCTAATTCTAACTATCCCTGAAAATAATAGCTCCAACAGGAATATGTATTAGAACTTTTAAAATATTGTTTTCTATCTTCATTACTTCTAGAACTTTGATGAATACTTGCACTTTTAATTTCAAAAATGTAGTTCTTTGACTAATTTCTTATTTTAAATTAATGACTTATTAACTATATTTATATTTTGATGTGCACTAGTGTATATGAGATAAAATATGAACTTATTTCTAAGTATCATGAAAATGTAAAATGCTTCAATGCCATGAATGAGCAGACGTCAAAAGATAATATTTTTTTTCAAAAAGAAATTATATTTTTAATATTTATAAATGCATCCCTGTAACTTTTAATATTTATAAATACACCCCCATAACTTTTAATATTTTTAAATATGGCCCCGTATCCTTATCCTACTTTTTTTTGGTTTTGTCGTATCCCTGTACCCTTTTCCGCGTTTCCGCGTTTCCGCGTTTCCGCGTTTCCGTGTACCCGTATCGGTGCTACATAGGTTTTGAGCCTAAGATGCAAAAAGTAAGGCCTCTTTCGAAGTTTTCGGTAGTTAAATTATTCTTTCCATCTAAGTTATTATCTTTAGAAGGACCTTCCGAAGTTGTCTTCTTCATAAAAACAAATTAAACTTTTCCATTGCTCTTTTTTGACTTAGAGCAGTATTATATAATCTTCTCTTCTTCATTTTTTTCTCCCATCTAGATTCCCCGGTTTTTATTAAACCTTGAAAATAGTTAAATTTATAAATTTAATGATAATTGAACCTAACAAAATAAACAAATTATAAAACCAACACTCAATAGGTAACAATCAACAATTAAGTGATTAACATCTAACAAATCAACTAATTATTTATCAACTATTCATAATCATTACAAACATTTAACAACTACGAATTAAATCACTAAACTGATCACACAATCATATGTTCGTATTACTCAGATAGTCAAATAAATTAATACAAGTGAATGTTAAAAATTGTAATCCTGTGAAAGAAATAAACTAGAGCCGAAGCTTAAGGTTGAATTGTTGGAAGGCGTACCTAATACTATCGTAAGTGATAACCAGAAGAATTGAAGGCTTGGAGAATGGAGAGTCGGAGTGGAGACTGGAGTGGCCGGAAAGTGGACCGGTGGACGCCGATGTCACAGCCTGAAGCCAGCGACGCAGCGTGACTGTGGTCTGCGGAACAGAAGGCGAGGGGGTGAAGGGTTGAAAACAGGACGAGGACTCTGTTTACGGAATGGAACGCGTGTTAGTTAATCCGGGTTTTTTTATTTGGGCCTTTGGACTTTTTGGGCGGTACAAAATTAATAATTTTGGACAAAAAATCAGCCTACTTAAACATACTATAAAGAAATAATAATCTTAGTCCTAAAAAAATTCATTTTTTTGGCCTAGGGCTCCCCCCCCCAAAAAAAAAATCCCAGCCAGCTCATATATTGAGACAAAATCCATAATGTTCTTTCCCGCTTCATTTGTTGTCCCAAAACCATATCCGTTATGGATACTCTTAAAAGCATCACGACTTGGGCCCACATGCCCATTGAGGTTGCCTCCTATGACTATTTTCTCTCCTCTTGGCAATCGTTCCACCACTTCCTCTAGATCTTCTTAAAATAGCTGAGTGATAGATGCATTTAATCTCACTTGTGGTGCATAAGCACTTACCACATTCATAATAACATCTACTATTACCAATTTAATGTTCATAATGCGGTCATTCTTCCTAAAGACTTCCATCACACCCTTAATATAATCACACGCCACAATGATGCATATTCCTTTTCTTGTCTTCTCTCTCCCTGAAGACCACAACTTAAAAACTCCAAGATTAATCTCACGTGTCTTTTCTCCATCCCAGGCCACTTAGTTTCTTGCACACACGGAAGGTGAGGGAGATTAGATGAAACAAATGAAAGATATATAAAAATAAGTCACAAGTCACTAACATGTCAAAAACTAGCAAAAATGAGGTGAAAGGCCAAGAAGAAAATTAATAGTGACTTTTAATATGGAGAAAGATGGAAAAGAAGAAGACAAAAGGAGAATAGAAAGAAATGAAAACAGAAATAAAAAATAAAGAAAATAATAACGAATACCGTGGGAAATAGTTTTTTTTAGAAAGAGAATTAAATCAAACAAGGGGGTTGTCCATACCGGTAACTATGGACAAATATAGGATCACTTTTAAAAAATTCCAAAAAAGAGACTAATTAAACCCCTACCAGTGACAATGATCAATCGGAGTAGTGATTAACTTGACCGTGACCAATTCGATCGTGACTAATTCGACCGTGACCAATTCAACTAGTGACCAACCCGACCAATAACCATGACCAATTTGACTAGGGGTGGTTCGGTACGGTATACCTTATATTTTTTCTCATACCTTTGCCGTACCAAAACTTTCGGTATGCAAAATTTGCATACCTTTACCTTACCGAAGTTTCGGTATACCGCATTTCGGTATACCGAAGTTTCGGTTCGGTAACGGTACGGTATCGGTAAATTACCGTGCATGTCTGCCAATACAAAAAATCATCATAGACTAACGAAATATACTAAATCGTTATTACTAGTGACATATTAAATCATTATTTAAATGTTACGAAATACAATTAATAATCTATTGATGTCAATTCAATATTGAACAATAATTATTATTATATTTAAGAAATTTAACATGCCACATATCAAAAAGTAACACATTCTCCTAAAATAACTTGAACAATATAGATATAATTAAACCAATAGTGATTTCTAACAAAAATAAATAAAACTATTCAAACAACATGGATATAAAATCATTTATTCCTAATATGATATTGTGTATTTAGTCATTTTTATAATTTTTTAAAAATTGAAGACATTCGGACAAAGTTGTGTGTCTCGACTCGCGGAATCCCTATGTAGATACACTTGTCACATAAGTGTATCTCTCTTCACTCGTCAGCTACTTAGCAGCCCAGCCATCACGACTTGCAAGCTCTTGGAACAAGATGAACTTGTTTCTTGACATTTGTACATTACTCATTAGTCATTAAGGTTAGCGTGATAGAAGCCTATAAGGTTATAGTGGATTTGAGAAATTGGGCATTTATTTTTGCATATTTGTATTTGTAACCAACTTAAGTATTAATTTTGGGCTTCAAAATTGTAATGGATTTCTACAATATATTAGAATTAAAAGTAATTGTTGAGTAGAGAGTCGGTACGGTATTATACCGGTATACCGCGGTATTCGAAAACATTTACCGTTACCGTACCGAAATAGATCGGTGCGGTATGATACCGTACCGAAAATGACGGTATACCAATATTTCGGTATTTTCCGGTATTTTTCAGTACGGTAAGTGTGGTATACCTATATTTCAGTATTTTTGCCCACCCCTAAATTTGACCAGTGATCAACCCGACAACGACCGTGACCAATTCAATCAGTGACCAATTACCAATTAATGACCAAGACCAATCCGACCCTCATTAACCACCGCGGTTGTCCAACGGGGATTGCCGCCACCGCCCGACGGTTTCCACCACCACACCCTTGCCCAACAACCCCATCCGCACACCCCTGGCCCCCTCCCCAGTCCCCAACAACCCCAACACTCTCCGGCTCTCCCCCACCCCCCTATGATAATCGGCATCGATGGCCATCGGCGTCACTGGTGGTCGCCGTCTCCGGCATCTCTGATGGTCGTCGTTTCCGGCGTCTTTGATGGTCACCGTCTCCGGTGTCTCTGGTCTTCGACGTCGTTGGTGTTCGCCGTGTGCGGCATTCCTGTCTCCATTGTTGCTTTTGTCTGTCACACAAGCTAAGGAGAGAGACTTCCTTCGTCTCTCATGCTCGTAGAAACAGTTCGGGAGGCTCTTGGTCTCTTTTTCCTCCTTCACAAAAATGGTCCTATTTTTGTCTACTCATAAGTCACAGCTCTTATTTTGACATTATTTCGTCAAACAATATATATTGGATTGAATCGTCAAGGCTAAACCTCTGAAACAAGAAAAAGGATAAAATACAATAAGACGTTCCCTAATTAAATCGGAGCTAAACATATCATATATTTTCATATAAGAGTGAGTTAATTGGGATTTTTTTATTGTTTTATTAAAACTACATTACTCGTACATTGGGATTTTTTTTATCAATTTATTCTTTTAATAAAACTGAGGCTATTCACCTTCTTCGTCAACTTATGGAGAAGTATAGAAACACTCACAAGGATTTGCATTTAGTGTTCATTGACTTAGAAAAGCCATATGATAGGGTACTTCGAGAAGTTCTTTGGTGGGCCTTAGCTAGAAAAGGCATTTCACGCAAGTATATCAGCATCACCATGAATATGTATGAGGATTGTACTACAAGTATCCGTACTAATGTAGGGAGAACCGCAGAGTTCCCTATTACTATCGGAGTGCACCAAGGATCGACTCTGAGCCCTTTTTTATTTGCCATAGTCATGGATGAACTTACAAAGTCAATTCAAGACGATATACCGTGGTGCATCATGTTTGCCGACGATATTGTATTGATTGATGAGAAACAATCACGGGTTAAAGCAAAGTTGGAAGTATGGCGACAAACATTGGAGAACAAGGGTTTCAGACTAAATATGAGCAAGGCAAAGTACATGGAGTGCAAGTTTGGTGGAGGTAGAAGCAGTGGTAATAATGGAATTACCTTAGATGGTATGGAGATAACGGTCAGCGATATGTTCCGTTACTTGGGCTCCATAATTCAGAAGGACAGTGAGTTAGATGGAGATGTATCCCATAGAATCAAAACAGGGTGGATGAAGTGGAAGAGTGCGTCAGGATTTCTATGCCATCGAGGTATGCCGACTAGACTGAAGGGTAAATTTTATAGGACAACAATTAGGTCTGCATTACTGTATGGCACGGAGTGTTGGGTGGTGAAACAATGTCACATTCAAAAGATGAGTGTGGCAGAGATGCGCATGCTGCGTTGGATGTGTGGGCATACTAGAAAGGACCGCGTGAGGAATGAGACAATCAGACAAAGGGTGGGAGTAGTACCTATTGAAGATAAGATGCGGGAGTCGCGCCTACGGTGGTTTGGTCATGTGCATAGAAGACCGAGTGATGCACCTGTCAGGCGAGTTGAGATGTGGGGAGAAGAGGCAGGGAAGAGAGGGAGAGGAAGGCCCAAACAGACATGGGTTAGGGGTGTCAGAAGGGATTTGCTTCTTCTTGGATTGGATGAGGGTATGGCTTTGGAGAGAGCAAAATGGAGGGCGGGTATTCGTGTGGAGGAGTGATCTTGTATCATCTTTTCCCCTCTTTTTTTTCTTTTCTTTTTTTTTATATTTTTATCCTTATATATAAATATTACTTTATCCTTTGTATTTTATCTTTTATATGTATATTCATCTCTTTTATATTATCTTTTTTTTATAATAGCTTATCTTTTTTATCTTTATTTTCTTTTTTTTTCCTTTTGGTGATATCATGTATCGATTCATGCTAGCCGACCCCAATATCGTTTGGGACTAAGGCTTGGATGTTGTTGTTGTTGTTGTAGTATTCTTTTAATAAAACTACATAAGTCATCTTATTTAAAGAACTAGTTTTTGTATCGCGCGTTGCGCGAGTATACTGATGCCCAATGTTATTTATAGTACGTATATATTTTTGCAGTTACTTTTATATTATACAAAATCAAAAGATAAATTGGAATTTGCATTTCACATAGTTCTTGTGCACTTAGAGTTTTTTTTATGTTTTATGGGTGTATGAAGATTCACATTACGAGGGAGCACATTCTAAAGCCAACAACATATGACATTGAAAATAATTAAAAGGGGTATATTTAAAAACATGATCTCCTAACACTTGTTAAGCATTATATTCCTTTAATTTTTGAAGCACTTTCGTGTGTCTTGGTCTGAACTACAATGACAATCAGGGGTATAGACAACTTTAGTACTAACATTTTCATTTGTAATAGAATACACAATTTTAGTACCTTCCTGAATTATTCAAAAGAAAACTCGAACTGAAGCATCTATTAGTTGCAGATGCTCTTTAAACATAGCTAAATCACCATGTAAGATAGCCTCAAGTACTTGATACACGAGTGAAATCAATCATTTATGGAATAAAAGAGTAACGATAATAAGTGACTATACTATTAGCCAAGATAAAACAGAATGTTTGCTTGCTTGTGACCGTACATATCTTATTCATGGGCTCCATTTGCAATTGCTATAA